GCCCTTGGCAGGCAGTGGCTGGGCGGGAGGGTGGGTGTGGGGGGGGTGCTGCCCACTGCCTGTATCCCCCCCCCCTTCTTTCTAAACCTAGTTTTGTAGGGCTAGCTGTTGCGTTGGGCGAGGAGAGCCCGCTGTACAGAGCGGCCCCCGCTGTCCCCCCCCAGCCTGGGGGGCCCCCTCAGCTGGTGCCCGCGGCCTCGCTTTTCCCACAGGATGTTTTACCGAATTGTTCACATGGTTTGAAATAATAAAATGTAGAAAGGAAAAAAAAACAGAGAGAAAAATATATATATACTACCCCCCCTCTATGACCTGGGGGTGGGTGCTTCACCTAGGCAGGAGGGCTGGGGGAGCCCCCGGGGAGTGGAGAGGGACACAGGGTGGGCTGGATGTGGGCGGTGAGGGCAGCCAGTGGGACCCTTGGGGAGGGAGCTGGGATGTTGGTGGGGGGCTGAACCCCCCCACACATACCCCGGGGTGCTGGCTCAGCAGCTGAGGGTGCTGCTGGTGGGGCAAAGACCACCCCCTGGCCCTGCAGCAGGGGGATGGTGGCACCCAGGGGTTCCTGGCACCCAGGGGAGACACAGTACCACACAGATCTTGGGGACACCCTGTGCCCAGGGCCACCCAGTGACCTGTGGCCCCAAGGGAGATCTTGCAGCAGCCTACAGGGACCCCAAGCTCCAGGGGCACCCATGGACACCCAACACCCTGTGGCACCCAAGAGACCCCAGCAGCCCCCAGCTCCAAGGGGCACCCAGGAGCTCTCAGCACCCTGGAGCACCCAAGGGACTCCCCAGCACCCTCCAGCTCCAAAGGGTACCCAGGGTCCCCCAGCACTTAAGGGACGCCCCCCCCACATCCCTCAGCTCCAACAGATACTAGGAACCCCCAATACCCTGCAGGACCCCAAGGGACCCCTAACACCAGGGGGCACCCAAAGAAGCCCAGCCTCCCCAGTGCCAAGGGTCATATGGGGACGTCCAGGACCCCTCCGCTCCAAGGGGTTCCTGGAGATCCCCCAGCACTCCCCAGCACCAAGGGTAGCCCAGGGACCCCCAGTACTCCTCAGCTCCAAGGGGTATCCAGGGACCCCCAGGACTCCCCAGGTCCAAGGGGTACCCAAGAACCCTCAGCACCCAAGGGACTTCCCCACCCCCCAACTCCAAGGGGTACCAAGGGACCCTCAGTGCCCAAGGGACCTCCCCACACCTCCCAGCTCCAAGGGGTACCCAGGACCCCCCAGCACATAGAGCCCCCAGGGACACCCAGCACCCAGTGGCACTGGGTGCCCCACAGCACTGGCCAGCAGGAGGGCTGCTGGGGAGGGGAAGCGGAGCCGTGTCCCCCACCCAGGGGTGGCTCTGGGGCGGAGCAGGTCAAATCCCGGGGGTTTGGGGCAAGTGGAAATGGCTGGGGAGGTGGGGTGGGGGCAGTGATGGGGCTGGGCCCCAGGGGAGGGGGAGGCCCGGGCTGGGGAGGGTACACTGGGGCTGGGGCTCAGAAGAGCCCGCAGTCCTTGAGGTTCTCCTTGATGATGATGTCGGTCACGGCGTCGAAGACAAACTTGACGTTTTCGGTATCAGTAGCGCAGGTCATGTGGGAGTAGATCTCCTTCACGTCCCGCCGCATGTTCAGCTCCAGGAACTGCAGCTTGATGTAGTTGCCGGCGTCCTCATAGGTGTTGGGACCTGGTGACGTGGCAGTGAGTGGGGTCCCCTCCTGGGCTGGTGTTCCCCCCGCCTCCATGGGTCTTGGCCTAGTGTCACCCCGCGCTCCCCCGTTGGGGCAAACCTCGCTTGGTCGGTGAGCAAGGCCAGCACAGCATTGTTTGCGTGGGGTGCTGGGGCCACCTGGTGGGTGGCTGCTGCAGGGTGCTGGCACCCAACCCTTCACCAACACCCCACCACCACCCGCCTGCACCCGGTGGCAGAGCACCCTCACCATCGTAGTCGGGGAAGCAGATGCTGAGATGGGCCTTCTTGATCTTCTCCAGGAAGACGTCCTTCTTGTTGAGGAAGAGGACAATGGAGGTGGTGGCGAAGTAGCGGTGGTTGCAGATGCTATTGAAGAGGTGCAGACTCTCGTGCATGCGGTTCTGTGGAGGGACAAAACCCCGTCACCCCACGGTGACCCCTACATTGCGATGGGGACAAAGCAGAGGGGGTATGGGGTCCTGAGCCTTCCTTACCACTTCGTCATCCTCCACCAGGACCATGTCGTAGGCGCTGAGGGCTGCGATGAAGATGATGCAGGTCACCCCCTCGAAGCAGTGGATCCACTTCTTTCTCTCTGAGCGCTGACCACCCACATCGAACATCCTGGGCAGGACAAGGAGGGGTCAGCACCCCCTGCCCCCTGCCCTCCCCCCGGCACCAGCCCTCACCGGGGGCACAGCCCCCACCTGAAGTTGAGGTCTTTGAAGGAGAACTGGGTCTCGATGATGCCAGTGGTCTTGACACGGGAGCGCAGCACATCCTGCTCTGTGGGGACGTAGCCGGGGGTCACCAAGCGCTCCAGGTCTGACAGGTAGCTGGCCAGGCACGCGGTGGGCATGAGACATGGGTCGGCACTTCCAGATACCCTCCACTCCCCACCCAAACCCTCCCCCCACCCCACATACTAGCCAGCCGAGTCGTTGAGCTGGTACTCGGAGGCACGGTCGTAGCAGGCTTGAATGCCTGTGTCCTTCCAGAGCCGCCCGATGATGTCTGACATCTCCTTGGGCATGGTGCCTTCCTCGATGGTGTCTGAGAGGTGCAGCAGCTTGCGGGCATCGTCCTACAAAGGAGAGGGACTCAGTGGGGTCAGGGGGCTGGGTGGGATGCCCCTGCCCAGCATGAGGTACTCCTCACCTGGCGAGCTGTGTCCCCGTACTGGATGTTGAGGGTGCTCATGGCCCGCACGATGGCCAGCATGGACTGGAGCGTGTTGCTGTAGATGATGGCGATGAACTCCAGGCATTCCTCCAGCGAGTAACCGTCCTGGTGGATGATCCTGGCCGGGGAGGAGGGCATGGGGCTGAGCTGGGCACCATGGGGCAGGGGCGCACCCATGAGTGCAACATGGAGCTGAGGTGAGCACTGTGGGGTAGGGAGCACTTATGGGTGCAGGATGGGGCTGAGCGGTCCACTGGGGAATGGAGGCACTCATGGGTGCAGAATGGGACCAAACTGGGCACTGTGGGGTTGCGCCAGGCACTAAGGGATAGGTGTACTCCACAGCTGTGGCATGGGGCAGAGCCAGGCACGGTGGGACAGGGGCACCCCATGACTGTGGTGTGGGGCAGGCATGTGGCACGGTGGGACATGGCCAAATGGCACCTTTTGGCACTTACTTCATCTGCTTGACAATGGTGCTCTTCCCCGACTCTCCTGCTCCTGTGGGGACAAATCAAGGGTCATGGTGGAGCCCAGGAACCCCTGGCTGCACCCTGCACTGGGCCCCTGGGACCCCTGGTGCCTGGCATGGCTGGGGGACACCGGTGGCCGTGCCAGGTTCACAGCTCAGGGCAGGAGGATTACAACCTGGTGCCAGCAGGCATTAAGGTTGGACTGAGCTGCTGTGGTTAATGGGATCTGTGGCGGCTCAGCTGGGGACGTGCTCCGGGACCCAGGGCAGGGATTGGGGACACAGTGGCATTGCAACTCCACCACTCACCACCCTATGCCCTAAACCTGTGGCAGTGCAGGAGGATGTGCCCTGGGCTGGGCCAGGAGGGCAGTGATGCCACCCATGGCCCCACCATGTCCAGGGCACCCCAGTTCCTGGGGCATCTGGGAGGGACTGGGAGGGCCTCAAAGTGCTGGGGGACTGCAGGGACAGACACAGGGGTGGTGGTGTGGGCTGCATGGGGGTACCTAGGAGGATGGGCTAGGAGAGCCGCTGTGGTGGACTGCTAGTAAAGTGGTGTTGGTGAAGGTTCTTGAGATGGGTTGGTTGTGGTCAGGGGGGTGGGGGTTGGGGCACGTTGGGTGGGCTGTTTGGGTTTGGGGGATATCTGGAAACTGGGGAATCTTAAGTTGGGCTGAGATGGGTTGTTGGGTTTGGGGTGCCTGGCAGGGGTGGGGAGTTGTTGAGCAAGCTGTTGAGATGATCTGGTTTAGGGTAGCCTGGGAATAGGAGCTGTTGGGGTGGGCCAGTTGGGTTTGGAGAGAAGAAAACACTGAGGAGGCTGTTAGGGTGGGCTGGTTGGTTTTAGGGGTGCTGGGGGGATCATGGAAACATTAAGGGGCTGTTAGGGTGGGTTGTTTGGGTTTAGGGCTGCTTAGAAGCAGAGGGGTGTTGGGTGGACTGTTCTGCTGGGCTGGTTGGGTTTAGATGGGGTCAGAGAAACTCTGGGTGGGCTGTTGAGGTGGGTTGGTTGGTTTTAGGGGTGTCTGGGAGTGGGAGGGTGTGGGGGAGCACTCTTGGGGTGGGCTTGTTCTGTTTAGGAGTGCTGGAAGCATCAGGGAAATGTTGGGTGGGCTGTTGAGGTGGGTTGGTTGGTTTTAGGGGTGTCTGGGAGTGGGAGGGTGTGGGGGAGCACTCTTGGGGTGGGCTTGTTCTGTTTAGGAGTGCTGGAAGCATCAGGGAAATGTTGGGTAGGCTGTTGAGGTGGG